ATATATATATATCACAGTGAACCCCAGGAAAATTATTCCATCACAAAACTGGTCTGCCAGTACAAGCCTCAAAAGAACACGAGAGAAAAGCCATGTTTTCATAATTACTATTGGGGGAGAGAGAGAGAGAGAGAGAGAGAGAATGGAAAGAAAGGAAAGAAAGAAAAAGAAAGGAAAGAAAGAGAAAAAGAAAAAATGGAAAGGAAAGAGATAGAAAGGAAAGAGAAGGAAAGAAAGAAAGAAAATCTAAGCAAATGTGCTATTTCAAGTAAAGTATTGCTAGGCCAACCAGCTACAAACACTGACTTGGGAAGAGGTTATTTACAATAGACAGGAAAATCCTACCCCCATGGCCGAGAGCCATGTTAATTGACTTCATTTAATACCCTCCTGGAGGCACTGAGATTCCCTGCCTGTACTGTGTTCACACCCATGTACAGATAATCTTTAATTTACAAACATAATTGGACCCAAATTATGCATGCAAATTGTGCCATTTGTTACATGGATCGTTGTGCGATTGTGCCTGATTTTATGACATTTTTTGCAGTGGTTATTCAGTGAATGCCATGGTCATTAAACAAATCCATTGCCCGCAATGAGCATTTTTGGTGTAAACTGGAAGTAAGCCCTGGTTTTTAATACCAAACTTGTAAATTGTGAATATGGAATGCTGCAAAAAGGTATATTAAATGCTGGAAACGGGCAAAAAAGTCATAAATCATGGTTACATGACTGTGGGATATTGCAAATGACCATAAAGATGAGCCAGTGGCCAAGTGCCCAAAATAAGATCATGTGACTTCAGGGGGTGGAGGTGTCATGATTTCAAAAAATGGATGGTAAGTAGCTTTTGTGTGGTCCCTTTGTAACCTTCTTCGTAACCAGTCATAAGTTGCGGACTATCTGTGTTGATTGCCCAGTCATACTATATAAGATTTTAAACAAATATAGTCAGTCTAAATTAATGACACAGGGCTCAGGTTAAATCATTCTCTGGATTTGTAGCATAACCAAGCACTTTTCCTTATATTTCCAATCTCTCTCTCCTCCATTTCTTCACTCACATTATACTATCTGACCTTCAATATTGTATTCTTTGTCAAATTTCATCACGCTATGCTTATCTTAAATGCTTATGTCAACCCTGAAGTTGGCCGAACTGTGGCCATTTTCTTTTTTTGTAGTTTTCTCTAGGGAGGTTTCCCTTTTCACTGCTTCAGGGCTGACACAACATAGAACAAAAATATTGTGGCCCACCAGCGGCCTGCGGAGCTGGCAGCAGATTCGGACAGTGAGGAGATTGGGGAGGAACATGGGCCAGGCCTGGAGTCTGGGGAAGGCTCTGATGTGGGCTCTGTGTTGGAGGCAGGGAGGGGGGCAGAGCCATATGCCAGTTATCAGCTGCCTTCAGAGTCAGACATCACTGAGGCAGACGAACAGCTGGAGCCTGTTCCCAGTGTGCGCATGTACAGAGTTGCCAGGCGAAGGGAACAGCTAAAGAACAGGGGTCGACTTGGGAGTAAGGCCACAGGTGGACGATGAATGGCCCCTCCCAGGGGAAATAAAAGAGGAGCGAAAGGGGAATGGAGTTTGCAGGAGACAATTAGTTTGCTTAATTGGTTCGTGACTCTCCAAAACTCCTTGCCAAGTTTTGCAGATACCAGCCTTGCAGCTCTCCAAGCCAGATAAGGTCTGTGACTGTAAATCCTCCCTCGAAAGACTTTGCTGGATGTGAATGAGCAAAATTCACAGTAAATTAATAAAAGGGTTTTTTGTCGGGACAAGGAGTTTGCTTCTTGCTCTTGGGAAGTCTCGGTCAGAACAAAAGGGGGCCAGGGAGCAGGGTGTAGAGATAGCTAGGGTATTGTAGCCTAAATAAATTTATTTCCCCCGGGAATCAAGGACGCTAATGCAGGTGTTCAAATGGTAAAGACTAAGGTCACTTTGCAACTGGACTGGAGGCTGATTGGACCATGTGACTGGAGACTCTGGGGGAAGTGACAAAATTTTACTTTTAATTGGGTGTAAAACCGCTGGGAACTTAAAGCAGGTTTTCCACCAGGAACGTGCCAATTTGATATGTCCCTATAAAATGTTCTTTGAATGGGATGTATTACCTGGAACCTTGACAGTTTATCTCTGACCTCACAGTAATATCGGGTGCTGTAGCCCAATTCTAATGTTAAAAAACAGGACGCCAAAACCCAGTTTTACCTGCCTTCTGTTTATGGATGTGTAGATTTAGCAGAAGTCTTCCTTTTGGTTATCACCTTTTGGTACCTGGGATATAAAGTTGAATGTCTGCTTCTTGCTTCTCAGTTTTAAGAAACAAATATATATTACTATTGTCTTGGCATTGATAAATAAGCTTTGGGTTAATTTATTTTGTTCCTTGAATAAGCTTTAGTTGATTAACATGCATTTATGCAATTAGTGTAATTAGACATACCGTAACTGTATAATTAGTATAAACGCATGTTAAGGCGAACTAGAACATATAATTACAACATGATTTATATATTATATAGTTGACAATTTCAACTCTTAGTTTCAGTTATTAAAAATTTTAATTTCTCTTATTATGAGAAGATCACTGTTTCTCTTTTAAGCAACTAGTTTCCAGATGCGTGGTGGTGAAATTTGTAATTTGTAGCTTTCTTATAGAAATAGGAACTTCTTTGCAGTTTTGATTTGCTTGGTTTTGTGTCATTTTTATGCATGTCCAGTGTTTTAATGGTGTATATATTTTACAGTAATTGGTTTGATCTTGGACCAAATCATAATAATCTTCAAATAGTTACAATAAATTGAAGATTGAACAAGATAATTTCATATAAACTCAGAAAGGATGCAGTTGATATAGAATATAAATATTTGTGGTAACTCTTTGGTGGATGAAAAAAGCCATCATTATGGATTATGTTCTTTATGTGAATAATCAAAAGATACAGAAATAACTTTTTTATTTACTTTGTTTCTTCTATAGAAAATTGCCTTTATGGTAGCGTTAGGCCTGGTTACGACTGAATACTTGGAAGGTAAGAAGGCTTATTGTACTTAAAAAAATTCTTCTGTTTTTAAAAGCAATGTATTTCAATATAATAAAGAGATTATTTTATAAAAAGAGGTTGGAAACCTTAATCTGAAATTTTTTATTGTGTTGTTGGAGTTAGATCTCAAGGGAAAGAACTTGAAAAATGCAGCACGGCTCCTGTGAGCAGCTCTTAAACATGAACCTTATTGAGTCATTATAAGATGAGTAAACTGATTATGCAAGTCATTACCACAAATAACCAACATTGTATAATGAAATTATTATTTCATTTTTGCATCTTTAGAAGTAGGCTATGCAAACATGTTAAAAGTAAGGGCACTGCTGTGCATAATTAAAAAGCTTATTAGGATTAAAAATTCAAGATCGCTATCTGGATTTTTCCTCTTTTTCTAAATAAGGTTAGAAATGAACTAAATGTATTTGAGTTTTAGTTTTTCTATTCCTTCCTTCCTTCTTCCTGCAATGGACACACCTTTGCAGAAACTGGCCCTAGACTGTGAGCAAAATACATTGCAAGGCTTGCAATATCAAATTAGTATGACCCAAATATTGTCGGCTTTTTGTGAAGCTTTTCTGTTGCTAGGAAAATAAATTTCACATTGCTGGATCAGTCCCAGAAAAAGAAGTTCAGAAACCCAAAGGCTAAGATAATCAGGATGATTCAGTCAATCGGATGTATAGAAGATAAGGTCGGAAACACAAGGTGGGAGTCGGAACATGAAAATATTAGGCTACTACTTAGACCTGGAATCGGGTGGGCTGCTGGGGGTTTGCAGGGGTTCAGGAGAACCTCTAGCTAAGATTCTGTGCAGTTCGCAGAACCCCCAGATCCCACTTCTGGCTGGCCCCACCCACCCAACCCACCTCTCTCAGGAGTCCCCATGCAGCCTGTTTTGGCTGCAGGTAAGTGCAGGGTGCACACGCAGGCTCAGGAAGGGCAAAAATTGGGCCTACGGGAAGTTCGGGAAGGCTGGAAACGGGTCCATTTCCGGCCTCCAGAGGGTCTCTGGAGCCTGAGGTGGCTGTTTTCACCCTCACGAAGACTCAAGGAAAGCCTCCGGAGGCCAGGGAGAGCAAACACGCCCCCCCCCAATGCTGGTCTTGTTGTATTTGGGTCTTTTCCCGTGTAAGATTGAGATTGTCTTGGCAACGTTTGGCCAAAAACACCAGCTAGAGGATGGCGAGTGAGACCTCGCCGAAACGTTGCCAAGACAATCTCAATCTTACACGGGAAAAGACCCGAATACAACAAGACCAGCATACCTACACCTGTGAAAATCTACAAAAACAAATATCTATCATCTATCTATCTATCTATCTATCTATCTATCTATCTATCTATCTATCTATCTATCTA